GTCATTTGGTGTGGTTGGATGACCTTACAAAGTGGAGGTTTTTCATGTGGGTATTCATTGGTTGGTGCCCAAATCAAGTAAGTTGGTTTTCTAATTCAGTTGTTGCAGAAATCTGATTCAGAACAGTTCATTTACTCTCAATATACCACAAAAATCCAGAAACACCCAACTAGAGTTATTTTGAAGTATTTCTAATTTCTTGCCCATAAGCCTTTGTTTTTTACCTTTTTAGCCAATGACCAAATCCCTAAAATTATAATAAAACCTTTCCTTAGTGGCTCTTGTTGTTCCCTTTATCTTATTTCTTTTGTCACACACATGGCCCTGAACAAAATCCATATATGAGATAGATCGATAATAATAATAATAAACTAAGACAGATCTTAGTAGAATTTTGGTCTAGAATTTTTACTGTATAATATTTTATCAATGTGATTCATGGCAAAGCATTGGGTTAAATATATTGAGAGTGAATATAAAACTATCATCATGAAAAAATAATACTTCTCACCAAAACATATTCCCTGTTCTTATCATTCATTAGCAGATCCCATAAGATTTTGCATTCCTTAAGGTCGTATACTTTACTTTTTGTTTTGTTCTAAAAAATTTTTATTTGTCATCTCCAGTCAAAATTTGATGATGGAGAAAAAATAAAAAGGTTTACTTTTATTTTTGGTCAGCCAATTTGCAAGTACAAGAACAAAAAATTTGATTCGTTCGCCAAACTTCATGAATGATAAAAACTAAAGATTTCTATTTTGAACCAATTCCCTTGTGTCAGCCTAGAACAACTGAAACTGTTGTCCACAATGATTTTTATCCAAAATTTTGATTTTCCTCACTGATAATATTGTCTTGAATTTTTATTATTATTTCATGAAGTATTGTGACCCATTATTATTATTATTATTATTATTATTATTGTTTTTGTTTGGTAATTCTTTCATCTTAATTGCAGTTGATTTTCATTGCAACTAAGACTGTTTTTCTTTATTTTCGGTTCCTGCCATTTACTCATTGCCATAGAATGATGTCAAAAATTAATTTATTGACATTTAATTTACAGGGTCAAAAAATACATTCTTTCAACCATTTTTTAAATAACCTCCACATTTCAGTTATGTCTTTTTAAAATTTTAACAGCATTATCTATAAGACAATTAGACCATGTGATTTTTGCTTTTCAATCTCATGAAGCTCTCAGATGTTAAATACATTAAACTCAACTCAATTGAGATATGTTATATGTTTGTAGTGATAACTTTTTTAAAAAAATCTGTTGTGATATTTGCCAAATTACTGAGTTGAAGGTAAAAATAAATCTTTTACCTAATTTGGGAAAATATTGACATTTTGATTGGGAAATGATTGATCAACTTAACCTATGTTCATTCCAATTTTGTGAGTCTAATACAAAATGTATTAATATGTTCTAGGAGGTCAGGGCAATCATTTTTGAAATGGGATAAGTGTCAGGGATCAGAAACTCCTATCTGTAAAGATTCACTTCTGGAAAGAAAAGGGAGTATTTATATTTTATGTTTTTGCTGTATTGATTTTAAAAACATAAAGAAGCTCTTCTGTTGGTCTTCACTTCAGCTAAATAAACTTTCATAGCCTTCAATGCTTTGAGAAGATGAAGCCAAGCATATGACTCAACAATTACAAATCACTAATGATTTCCAAGAGTCTCTCTTACACAGTGGCGAGCATAAAGATCAGAACGATGTTAAGAAAAAATCTAAATGTGAAACAACTTTTTATTTTAAAGCTTCAAAGAATATTTTATCAAGGAAAAATAAGGATATAAAGGTAAATTATATAATTCTAAAAGATAAAGCTCAATAAACTTATTTTGATGAAGTTATAAGAATGATTATATGACATTCGAAAGAAATAGATGATCAAAAACATCAGAACGATTAACAAGATCATACTATTATAATGGATACATCATATCCAAATGAAAAAAAGCGTTCATAATTCATTAGTACTTGATGTGTAGACCTTTACTTGCAATAACAGCTTGTCATCTTTTGCTACATGAGTGAATTAATGTCTTACATTCATTAACAGATACTTTCTCCCATTCTCCTTTCAAATTAGTACATAGTTCTTTGACATTTGCTGGATTATTTTCCTTAGCTCTTTCATTTCACTCACAAGACTTAGTTCAACTCGTAGTATGATTTCCAGGCACTTTCCAACAGTGTCATATGCTGGGATTGTCTCCCGAAGCTGATATCATCAAGTCACCTCCCTAACAAATTAACCATTGTGAAATTTGAACTTATAGTTGGGATGCTGAAAATCTATCCACTTGGCCATCCCATATATATATATATATATATATATATATATATATATATATATATATATATATATTTAGACAGAGAGAGAGAAAGAGAGATTTGTTTTTATGCTTTCTCAACCCTTTGTGGGCTATTTAAAACTGAAATACATTTTAAAATGTAAGAAAAATTTTTATTTATTTATTTTATTTTTTGCAAGTGAATGTTGCATTGACAATCTTTTGAGAGCAACAATGATTTTTTCACATACAATTCTTACTATTTAACCTGTAACTGGGAGGAGGATATGGATTCATACCTTTCCCAAGTATATTTGCATCTAAATGAATGCAACAAACCTAACTGGAATGCAAACTCAGTTCTTTAATTTCTAATTCCAAGCCATTATCACTTGTAGGCATCCTTCTATTAATTATATAATCTTATGTTAGATTGTAAGATCCTCTTTTGTCATATTACATTCAGGCAACACAAACAGCTATAAAGAAATGCAAAACTTGATGGACAGATCAGACACAAACTTACACACAAGAGTATGTGTGTATTGTCTGTCCAGAATGTATCCTATCATTTTACATATCTCAAAAGATGTTTGTGTAGCTTTTGAGTGAGTGTGTATATTATATGACCATCACATTCACAATGAATATACATCAAGCTTTACTTGAAACTTAGACATTTGTCAACAGAAAATATTCAAATGATTAAAAAGGTTTTCGGTGAAGATTCAAGCTTCAAACTTGTCCAGGAATTTGTTAAAAGTAACCCACATTCACTCATGATAACAAGGAGAACATGCAAAAAGGTTAAATGTTTGTGGGATGCAATCACAGGAAATGCAATGACTTCTTCAAATGCTGTTAATCATTATATCTGACAAAATACAGACCGTTTAGAATTTATCCAGCCATTTCAAATATCTCCAGAACCAATTGCATGGCCTTGATATACCTTAGCAACCAATCAGAGGAGACCTTACTCTATATGCATGAATAGACACATTCCTAGTTGTCAGTATGATGCCACTGAGTGAGCTTGTGCATTGTATGACCCTCACATTCATAATGAATTTGAAAATTATGAATTTGCATCATTATATATTTGTCCTTATATTTTTCCTTTGTTCACTTTGAAGACATGAAAATTTGTTTGATAAATGATTCTTGAAAGAATTATTACAGTATATTTTTGTTGTAGAAATTCTGTCTCAGCTGGTAAAGATAATAATAATAATATCTTTACCAGCTGAGATAGAACATTTACAACAGAAATATACTGTAGCAATTCTAGCTATTTAGGAACTAAGAAACAAGAGCGTGAAGAATTCATAAAATGCAATTGATCATTATATCTGAAGAAATACAGTCTATTTTGAATGTATCCAGTATTTCAAATTGCTTGGCCTTGATACACCTTAACTACCAAGGAGACTTTACTCTGTATGCATAAATATACACACTCCCAGTCAGCAGTATGATGATACTGAGTGAATTTGTGTATTATGAAATCTGCACATTTACATCAAATTTTTCTTGAAACTGGGACATTTGTCTACAGAAAGTATGATTTTAATGATTAAAAAAAGGCTTTCAGAAATGATTAAATGAGTCCTGATGAAATTTTAGAAATGCTGCTTCAGACTGTTAACAAACTTATTGACAGTTTGAGAATCTGAAAATTTGGGGGTTCGCCAAACTGTCTAGAAAGTATCCAGCCATCTTGAATGTCCACTCATCACATCACATCAAATCATCCAAGTCTGTTATCCCTACTGCAGCAATCCAGATTTGACTCTTTGCAAGTTTTGGCTTTTTCTAAAGCTAAAATCACTGTCTCCACGTGGTACTATGAGATGCATAACATTCTAGGGTCGATGTGTACTGACACCTGGATTGTCTCCGACAGCCTGTGAAATGTATTTTTCATGGTCAGCTGTATGAGCATAGTTTCTGGGGTCATGGATCCTGTCTCAGCAATCTGATGATTAACAGCAGCAAAGGTTGGATGACTCAGGTGCCTTCAGGCAGGAAATACGATCTCATACAGCCATGCAACCTTGTGTCCATTATCATTTGCATGGGCATATGTAAAAATCATATCTTTGTTTTTATATGAATATCCTGCCATTCTTAAACGGAACACTTCTCAGTTAGCTCACTACTACACATGTTAAACATTGAAGATGGACTTGCCTCAAATGTACACGAATGACAAATGTAACCTCGTCTATGTGACAACACAGTACCATCTACCATAGCAAAATTAACTCGGAAAAAAAGAACTTGAGGACATATGCTTATATGGACTTTTGTTCTTGTGTTAGAAATCCACCCCTAATGTTTGTAAAAGTATGTCTGATGCACCATATATATATATGTGTGTGTGTTTGTATATGTACGCACATTAGTATATTTGCAAACTGATGATGAAAAAGGCATTTATTTTACATAGCAATTATTCTTCTTTGTCACTGCATTTAAGTCATATGGATTACCTATTATAATAACTGTATGTTAAGCTACACATTTATTGATCCACTCATATGTATGTGTTTTGTAGACACATACACAAGTGTTAGGTGAGGAGCATTAGTTTTTCATGATGATTTTATTATAATCGCAGATATGACTTTAATCTCGGACTAAATTGTTTGAAAACCTTATGAAGAACAGAATCATTTGAAGAATGGCTTGCGAGATAAGCATATTAACCATCACTCAGCAAAAGATGCCTTTGATATGTTTCTGGTCAGACAATCACCTTGTGGTCAGCTTGTAATTGACAAAGTATTTCTCCAAGGTTCTGAAAAAAGTTAAGTGTTTTTGATTCACTCCAATTCTAGTTAGTGTTTTTTTTTTTTACCTATCTGCTTAAAGTTGTGGTAAGTGCTGCCATTTGGACTGAAGTATGAGGGCTTATTTATGTCTCTTGTAGGATAATGGCCATTTATTTCCAACAAAGAAGATTTTCTGCCCAATGCCAAAAGAACAACCTTATTTCAAATCCTATTGACACTAAGTAAATGTTGCAGTGGTCAGTGAACCATGCATTTGTAAGTTGCAGTTTCCAGTGAATTTGTTGGCCTAGTTGAGGTGAGGACATAGCAACAGCCATTTGTTGAATTTCTTTTATAGTTTTTTTTTTCCTCATCTATTTTTTATTTTATCTTTTTTGTGTTTTCTTGGTTCTCTGTTTTTCTTCTATATCTTCTTCAGGTTCTACTTCTTCAATATTTTCTTTCTTTCTTTTCTCTCTCACTTCCTCTTTACCTTTTTCATTTCATCTTCTTTCTATTCTTCTTCTTCTTCTTTACTTACTCCTTCCTCTGCTTTAGCTTCTTTTCAGGATCTTCATTTTATTACGTTTTCCTCTTTCTATTTTATTCGCTTCTTCTTCTGCTTTAATTTTTCCTTTGCCTCACCATTTTTTCTTTATTTACTTCCTTGTTGATTTCATTTTCTCCTTTTCTTCATTGTTTACAGTTTATTATTTTCCTTTCTTTATTTACTTTCCTCTACTTTATTTTCTCTTTATCTTTCTCTCCATTTTTTATTTTCTTTTTTTTTTATCTGCTCCCTTCTCTGCTTTATTTCTCCTTTTTTCCTTTTCATTTTTTCTTTCTTTTTCTTTATTTGCTCCCTCTTCTGATTAGTTTTTTTTCCATTTTTCTTCTATTCTTCTAAAGCAGAGAGAGAGGAAATTAAGGAGAGTAAGAATACTCTCCTTAATTTCCTCTCTTCTCTGCTTCATTTTCTCTTTTTCTTCTTTATTTTCATTTATTTTATTTTTCTTCATCTACTTTCTCTCCTGCTTTATATTCTCGTTCTTTTTTCTTCCTCTTCTGTAAATTACTTCTTTCTATTTTTCATTCATTCCTTCTTCTGCTTTATTTTCTCCTTTTTTTCATCTTCTTTGTGTTACATCTTCCTCTCTTTTATATCGCTTTCTTCAGTCACTCTCTTCTCTGCTTTACTGTCTCCATCTCTTTATCATATTCTTCTTTTGTATTCTTTTCCCTCTTTTTCTTTCTCTGTTCCCTTCTCTGCTTTACTGTCTCCATCTCTTTATCATATTCTTCTTTTGTATTCTTTTTCCTCTTTTTTCTTTCTCTGTTCCCTTCTCTGCTTTACTGTCTCCATCTCTTTATCATATTCTTCTTTTGTATTCTTTTTCCTCTTTTTTCTTTCTCTGTTCCTTCTCTGCTTTACTGTCTCCATCTCTTTATCATATTCTTCTTTTGTATTCTTTTCCTCTTTTTCTTTCTCTGTTCCCTTCTCTGCTTTACTGTCTCCATCTCTTTATCATATTCTTCTTTTGTATTCTTTTTCCTCTTTTTCTTTCTCTGTTCCCTTCTCTGCTTTACTGTCTCCATCTCTTTATCATATTCTTCTTTTGTATTCTTTTTCCTCTTTTTCTTTCTCTGTTCCCTTCTCTGCTTTACTGTCTCCATCTCTTTATCATATTCTTCTTTTTGTATTCTTTTTTTTTCTTTTTCTTTCTCTGTTCCCTTCTCTGCTTTACTGTCTCCATCTCTTTATCATATTCTTCTTTTGTATTCTTTTTCCTCTTTTTCTTTCTCTGTTCCCTTCTCTGCTTTACTGTCTCCATCTCTTTATCATATTCTTCTTTTTGTATTCTTTTCCTCTTTTTCTTTCTCTGTTCCTTCTCTGCTTTACTGTCTCCATCTCTTTATCATATTCTTCTTTTGTATTCTTTTCCTCTTTTTTTCTTTCTCTGTTCCCTTCTCTGCTTTACTGTCTCCATCTCTTTATCATATTCTTCTTTTGTATTCTTTTCCCTCTTTTCTTTCTCTGTTCCCTTCTCTGCTTTACTGTCTCCATCTCTTTATCATATTCTTCTTTTTTGTATTCTTTTCCTCTTTTCTTTCTCTGTTCCTTCTCTGCTTTACTGTCTCCATCTCTTTATCATATTCTTCTTTTGTATTCTTTTTTCCTCTTTTTTCTTTCTCTGTTCCCTTCTCTGCTTTTACTGTCTCCATCTCTTTATCATATTCTTCTTTTGTATTCTTTTTTCCTCTTTTTCTTTCTCTGTTCCTTCTCTGCTTTACTGTCTCCATCTCTTTATCATATTCTTCTTTTGTATTCTTTTCCCTCTTTTTTTTCTCTGTTCCCTTCTCTGCTTTACTGTCTCCATCTCTTTATCATATTCTTCTTTTGTATTCTTTTCCCTCTTTTTCTTTCTCTGTTCCCTTCTCTGCTTTACTGTCTCCATCTCTTTATCATATTCTTCTTTTGTATTCTTTTCCCTCTTTTTCTTTCTCTGTTCCCTTCTCTGCTTTACTGTCTCCATCTCTTTATCATATTCTTTCTTTTGTATTCTTTTCCCTTTTTCTTTCTCTGTTCCCTTCTCTGCTTTACTGTCTCCATCTCTTTATCATATTCTTCTTTTGTATTCTTTTCCCTCTTTTTCTTTCTCTGTTCCCTTCTCTGCTTTACTGTCTCCATCTCTTTATCATATTCTTCTTTTGTATTCTTTTCCCTCTTTTTCTTTCTCTGTTCCCTTCTCTGCTTTACTGTCTCCATCTCTTTTATCATATTCTTCTTTTGTATTCTTTTCCTCTTTTCTTTCTCTGTTCCTTCTCTGCTTTACTGTCTCCATCTCTTTATCATATTCTTCTTTTGTATTCTTTTTCCTCTTTTTCTTTCTCTGTTCCCTTCTCTGCTTTATCTTCTTCATTGCTTCTTTTTCTGATTTTCTGAGTTTTATAAAGAATACATTTTTCAATTTTTTTACATTTTATTTAAATCCTGGCACTTTGGAATATAAAAATAAGCTTTAGGTGAGATTCAAACTCACATCCCTAATCACAAGAGTTTACTATATCATGCAGCAACACTTTCACCATCTTGATCAGAAACAACTTTCTATCTGGAGGAATTCTTAATGAAATAATCTGACCCACCATTACCTTTTTCTTATTTCTCTCCATGCCATAATCAATAGTTCTTCAAATTATCTTTGTTTTTAACAGATTAGGTATTTTCACAAATTTCTCATAGATAAGAATGTTCATTTTTGTTGATTTTTATCAGACATAATCTTCAGACTTTTAAACTTATATAAATTTGGAAATAAAAGAAACTTTGAACTTTCATCCCATAGCATCAGTCTTGCCTTTTTTAATCCAAATTCACATAGTTTAATTTAAACTGTGTGAATTTAAAACAAAGACTGTAGAATGGACCACCTAAAACATTTTTTTTAATCATTTTATCCCAAGCAAGGCAGAAATGCCACTAGTATGCGTAGAGTTACATGGCGTGAAAGTAAAAAAGAAGACTAAGAATAGGGAGGACTGAGGAAAGGACAAAAGATGAGGGAGATTCAAGAAGACAGAAGATGGAAATTGACATTGAATTTAAAGTTTTGAAGATTGTAGTTATCAGGGAAACAAGTAAACAGAAGTGAGTTCCACAGGTGGGAAGTGCAAGAAAAGAAACTGCTCAAGTAGAAATGACAGTTGCATTTAGCTATTTCAGGAGCAACACTTGAAGAAAGCTGTAGAAGGAATTATCTAAAATGTTTTGATGATGCTAATGATAATAATGATGTTCTCATCATAGCCAAATGTGCACTACAACTTTGAATTTATATCTTCTTATTCTTTTATTTAGTATGTTCCTTCAGGATGTGAATGATCATGGCTCTCCATAAATTCTTACACCTTGTAAACAAAGCAATATTTAACCCCTTACTCTCCTTCCTTGTTCATATTTTGCCAGCCATTTATGCAAGTTTGTTAGGTATGTAACTCACTGTTTCTCTCGACCCCACAATATGGCCTGTGAGTGTCAGTTTCTCCAAACCTCCTTTCCTTATTATGTTTCCCAGAAATTTCAACTATCTCTTTATGAACCTAAGATAAAGTGTCCATTTTTTTTGTTCCCATTTTCTTTAAAACTTCGTCTTTGCTCACATGTCCCATCAATGGTATTCCCATTTCTAATGCCTCAAGTCTCTTCATCTGTGAAGAAATTACCTGGTCATGTAGGAAGATTGATAGTATATAACAGTCGAGCTATAATCCTTCCCAGAAAATTAAATCTCCATAGATATCTATGCTTACCTTATGTTGCTGAAGTCATTCCTACCAATAATAAATCTCAGCAAAACCTCCAGATTACCTAACTATACAGATGAAATAAATCTGATGAGAAGACATGCACATCTTTGTCTTATGTTCCTTATTGAAAACTAAGCAAGAAATGAAAACTTGTTCTTATTATAATAGATTGAGAAATAATTCTGAAATCACTGTTTGATAAATGTTTTATTCATAAGTCATTGAAAGACTCCTGTTTAGTTAAATACAATATCACTATCTATAGTTGTCTACCAACGTTAAAATATTGACTGATATATGGTTCACTAACCAACTTTCTATGGGAATAGCATCTTTTGGCAAAACATTGGCAATATTTCAGAAAACATCACTTGTGCCTTCATTAAAAGACTATTTGTGTCAATAATAACAACTGTGATTCTATGGTTATTGCTCACCCACTTCAAATCAGAAAGTTTACAGATCTCCTGAAAGCATCACTCAAATATCTCCACTTAATTTTACTGGATCCATTGATAGAATTATATGTATAAATTTAATTATTTTTCAGAAAGTTAGCAATATATATATATATTAATTAGGATCAAATATGGATTAGAATCTGACAGAATGATAGGATAAGGAACAAATAAGAAACTTTATTAATGTAATATGTTTCATTTTTATTTAAATTTAATCAGAAATGAAATATGAAAGAGAAAAAAATTCTGATATTTTTATTCTTTGTGTTGTTTTTCATTGGTTAAGTAGATTTCAGGTGTGTTTATCTTGTCTGATAGTATTGCTATGTATAATTTTTTTATGTTTGTGTATCATAATTTTATTATGTTTGTGTATCATAATTTTAGTTGGTCTGATTGATAATGTGTGTGCCTGCACGCATTTTATTTTTGTCTGGTAGTGTCTGTATGTTGATTGGGGGATGTTTTGTATAGAAGTGAGAATTTTCTAATGAAGCTTAAAGCAAAACATGTTCAATTTATAAACATTTCCAATTTGTTCCTTATTCCATCATTCTGTTGGATTCTAATCCATATTTGATCCCAATTCATATATATATATATATATATATATATATATATGTTATTGTGTCGGAAACCTACCACCCCTCTTGAAGATGAACTTGTCTGCGAACAAAGACTTTAAATAGTGGCAGATCAGAAGACAGATGGACAGAAGTTCTTAGCTGAGCTAGTTATTGACTACTCAGGCAATTTCTGTACCATTTTACCAACCTATTAAAACCCTTTTTATTGTTACGTGTTATTTGGCGTTTGTCTCTACTAACCCCAAATCAACATCATAACAATATATATATATAAGAAGGTAAAGAACAAATAGGAAACATTTATCAATCTAACATTTTGTACTTTAATTAAAGCTTCATCAGAGATTGTGAGACAATAGACAAAAAGGCAGAATTTTGGCATTTTCAGTTTTGTTTGGGTTGATTCTCATTGGTCAGTCATGCTATCATGTGTATTAAAACTGTAGATAATTCTATATATATGTAAGCTTGTAAAAATTCTAATATGTCTAAGTGTGCATCGGTTGGTAATGTGTATTCATAATTGTGTATGTATGTATGATCCATATTTGATCTGCAATTCATATATATATATGGAGTGGACATATATATATATATATATATATAGTGGACACTGGGGTCAGCAGTGACAACTTCGAAGTAAACTCTTTATAAGGACTTTAATATAGCTATAAATGAAAACAAGTACATATCCTGTATCTCCAATTGGGTCATCCCAGGAAAAGTTTTTTTTTCGGTCTGTGTCCTAATTATGTCCTTTTAATAACTGCTCAAGAAAATAAACAACCCAAAAAATAGGAATAATTTGTGGGAAATGAAAAAGGTTAAATGAATGAAAATAAAAAAAAATTATCTGAATATATATCATCAAATATAGGTCAAATAAAAATGTTAATTGCAGCTTTGGATTAATGAGTGTTGTTAATTACTGAGATGGTAATAGAAGATCATATAAGCTGCCATACATTGCATAATTGTGAGTTCATCTTGCTAACCAGATTGTAGTTTTCAACTTTAATGAGTGCATGAGTATTATCAGACAAAGGTAAACTTAATAAAGTGGACTTCCATGTTGTTGAAACTTTATTTTTTTTTATCATTTCACTCTAAGCAAGACAATAATGCCACTAGGACAAAAGGGGTTACTGGGAATGAAAGAGAGTGAAGTGACTTCAGTGAGGAGAAAGGACAATAAAAGAACAGGATTCAGGAAGACAGAAAATGGCTATTGGCAATGCATTTAAGTTTTTGAAGATTGAAGGTGTCAAGGAAGCAAGAAATTGGAAGGGAGTTCTATAGGTAAGAACTGTAAGAAAATAAATAATTAGAATAAAACATATAGTTGCATTTAGGTAGTTCAACAGTAAAATAATGAAACCTAGTTCACAATTTAGTAGCATGCTTAAATTCATGCAGTCAAGGCAAGAAGGAAAGCTCATCAGAAGAATTGCCATAAATATAATGGAAAAAAGACAAAGGGAAGCCATGCCACATTGGTGCTTCCAGCATGAATGCCAAGCAGAACAGTATGCCTTTTACAAATTTCTAGTGGTGTGAATTGCATCATGGTGTGTTTCTTCTCACAGTTGGTACCCAACTGACCCAACTATACTGTGCAATCAACAAAATCAAAAACAAACAATGCACATGCACAAAATTAAAAATATAAAATGGCGACAATTTACTCATCGCACCTCTCTCTCTCTCTCTCTCTCTATATATATATATATATATATATATATATATATATGTGTGTGTGTGTGTGAAGAATTTCAGATATAAGTAAAATATATGTGTAAAAGGACAATATGAATAAAGAAAAAAGGAGAACTTATCTTAGCCAACGCGTTTCATCCTCTGAACTTTTTCAAGGCAAATGTATTCTTTTGCAAAATATTTGTCTTGTTGAAGACCATCAGAGGATGAAATGTGTTGGCTAAGATAAGTTTTCCTTTTGTCTTTACACACACACGCACATATATATATATATATATATATATATATATATATATATATATATAATGTGAGTGTACGTGGAAATTTGGATATATCTTATAAGATTAATAGATTTGATATCTGTATACTTGTACTAAAACTGAGCATTCATTATTTTGGCCTTTATTTAAATTGTTCACTGATGCAAACTTGTTTTTGCCAGCTAGCAGATTCTGTAGACGGTGGGTATTTTTAAACTTTTTAACATATCTGTATTTTCATTCTAGATTCCTTAGACAAGGATTATCATTCTTACCAATTGATTGATTTGAACTGGTATCCACATTTTTGTTGATATATTTTCCTGAAGAAGACTTAGTAGGGAATACAACAACTGAAATCTTGTGACCATCATAACCAAAATGATAACACTTGTGTATCAATGTATCTATGTCATTGTGTGAAAAAGGGTATTATTAAAATACTAGATATCTACTGAATAGTTATCTTTTCTGCTAACTTTTAATGATGATTTTTTTAAACATTATTTTCTTTGTAAGAAGAATTATTTTAAATGTCCCTTCAGCCTCTCCACCACATTTTTATATACATACATTGCATAATTATTATCTATACATTGCATAA